GAGGGAGATGGGGTTGGAGGTGATTCTGAGAGGAGGACTGAAGGAGAAGGGGGGAGATGGGTGGAAGGATAAAAGATGGATTAAGGCTGCGTTTCAGATTGGCAGTAGAGGTTTGCATGTGCTGCATATGTGCGCTTAATATGCGTGTGTTTAGTGCATGCACTAAGCTGAGAGATGTACGACTTTGTTAGTGTGTGTTTTTTTCCTGCTGCCTGCCATTCCCCAGCCTCAGAAGGAGAAAAAAAGCCTTCTTACCCAACATACTTATCTCTGCCTCTGTGTGTGCGTATGTGTTTGTGTAGAAACCTCTTTACATGTGATAATGACAGCTGTAATGCCTGTCTGATATATACTCAGCTCTGGGACTTGGGTTGCCTGTTTGGATGCGTTTGTGAGTGAATGTGTGTGTTTGTGTATCTGAAACATGCGCATAGGACAGGACACGCTTTATAAGCTCTTTGTGTGAACACAGGAATGTATCGGAGAGGGATAATCTTAAACCTGTTTGTGTGTACATGTGTGTGTGTGTGCGCAGAAAAACACAGTGAGATGAATGTTGCATGACAGGCGTTGGGGATGAGATCTCCAATGATCACACTTTAATACCTTTTTTTCCTGTTCACACAGAAACACACACCTCTGTGTGGACTGGCATTACAATTCAGGAAAAAGCGAAAATGTAGTGAGAGACCAAGACCAGTCATTTTTTGTATTTTTGTTAACCTGTGTGCTTAACGCCACTTATGTTTCTGAAGAAACAATGGCACCAAAACCCGTGACTATTTGGAACAAATAATGGAAACAACTATTTGTATTAGGGTTATAGCACCACTTTGGTTTGTGTTGTGGCATTCTTGTTTTCCTTCCTTCCTCGCTTCTGCAAAAAGGCTCAAGAGTGACTTTGGATTATGTGTAGAGAAGAGCATTATGGGTAACCCCAGGTTGCAGAGGCTTGCACAAGTAGCATACTAACATCCAAAATCTGAACAGTGTATCATGTAGCTTGAAATAGGCTGAATGGTTGACCCTGATCCTCTCAGCAGGTTCTGAGGTTTGAAGCATTAAATATATTGTACAATCCTAACCCTACAAATATAAATGGAAAAAGACATACAGTAGATCCTCTCTGACTGAGCCTCGTGCACATTTATTCAGCTATAGTCACATGTACAAAAACTCTGTCCTGTGAAAAACCAAGTGCAGCCTACTACAATTGAGAGGGTAAGCAGAAACCAAGTGCTGCTGATTAAATGCGCTTGATTAATTGATCTTCAGAAAGTGTCAGCACATCTATTTGCTGGTTGTGTGTTAACAAAATTTAACAAAACAGCTTGGACAAGGACATCGCAACAAACTCACCCCAAGGTCAGACCGTGAGTTACATCTCAGACTTTACAGCCCTCAGTTATGAAATGTTTAAGTGCGTGAAAGTAGAATTAGAAAATGACTGAATCAACCAAACACGGCATAGCAGCACCAACACCTCATACCACCTGTCAAGCATGGTGGTGAAGGAGTGCTCGTGGGTGGTGGATCTGGGCACCTTTCAGCCAGTCAGTGAACCATAAACTCCTCTGTATATCCAAGTATTCTAGAGTCTAATGTAAGGCCTGCTGTCAAAGCTAAAGTTTGGCTAAAACTGGGTCATGCAACAGAATGGCTAAAAAGTGAACAATCAAGGTGTTGCAGAGGCCCAAAGTCCAAACCTCAGTCTGATTGAAATGCTGTAGAGAGGTGCACATAAACAAATGTTCACAAATTTCATTTAAAGAACTTGCAGGTAGACAATCATATTATTACAGTTTTCATTTAGTGAATATAAAAAGTCATACAAAGATTTATTTTACAGTAAAGTGGATGCAAGTGTTGGATAATTTTTGAAGATTGCAGGTATTGATGTTTTGGAGAAGATGATACAATGGAAGTGGGAAAATAAGGCAGGTATTAAAACTTAGCCATAGTGAGCCGTCCCCCCCACAAAAAAAGAAACAAACAAACAAACAAAACAATTCCAACAAACAAGCAAGCAAAACCAAAAAAGGTTTTGGCCTTTATTACTACTCTACCCATTATGACTACTGTGAGTAGTTAACACTCTGTCAGTATACTGAACCTCAGTCAGCTATAGCAGCTAGCCATGTGCTACATGCTAGCTTAGCTAAAAAGTACAGAACTGGGCCTGTGGGTTTTGAAACATTTTTAATGCAAATATCTAGTAAAGAACATAACTTCTACCAACAACAAGTCCAGGATATCAGTCCTGCTTGCTTTTGTTTTTTTAATTTTTATTTTTTTTGTGATACTGAATGAAATATTGGAAAGATTACACAACATTACACAGGTAAGGTTAGCTTACCTTCCTCAGAAGTGATGCTAACTTAGGTTAGATGTGAAAACTAAAATAAATGATGATAAAAAAAATTAAAAAAAAAAAGGAAAAATGTGTTTCTGTGCATTAATGTTCTTGCCATTATCCTAAAAATCTGTAATTTTATTTCCTTTGTAGTTTAACCCTTTAAAGCCGATCGGAGCGGGCACGCTCCGTTTTGCCCAACTATTTTTAAATCCCTGTAGAACCGGAACCGCCTAAGCTAGCGCAATAATTTTTTTTGCATAAGAAACCGGGGGAGTTGTACTTACATCTTATGCCATCAGCTTGTCCTAGGTCACGGTTTCCTTCCACATAAAGCTTTGCAAAAATTGCATAAAAAGCGCTTGCAGGAACAAAAACATAATATTCCAGAAACAGGCTTTGCCGATCCGATCAGCTGTTCGTAACACTTCCCACATTGAAACAGAAGTCATTTTCACGGAAAATGTAGTTTTTTACTTGTAGGCCTTAAAAGCCTATACT